TTTATTTATATATATATATTTATTTATTTACTTTTTTTTACATCCTGTTGCCCAATAAAACAATGTTTAAAGGCAATGAAAACAAATGTAGTGAAAGTAACCATGCAGGCTATGCTATATATTATGTGCAAAAAAGGGGCTAAAATCACATTACATCCTAAACATTGTAACATTACAATCTAAAAACAAAAACAATGCTATTTAAAGGAGAAGGTAAATTCACTAAACTAAAAATGAATCAAAAATAAAAACAAAAGCACAGATTAATTGTATTATATTTTGATTACCCCATTACAATAGTCACTTTACACTTTACTGCTATCGTAAGATACACTTAGCCTACTTTTGGGTTTAAAATTCTACACGTGGCACATTTACTGTCCAACTACAAATATTTTAGTAAAATGTATATTTTAGTCAGAATTATTGTGCTCCTATTCTATTGCACTCCGTCTGTTTGGCGCGCATACGTGTAGCGGCACTCCTTCACTGAAGTCTGTGAAGTTTAGCGGAGAATCGCATGTACTAGGCTCGTGCACTCCTGACAGGAAATTGGAAATATTTCCATGACTTTCTAACATTTACAGATGGAGAATATACCTGTGATATTTAAGTTATGAACTGAGGAAAATAGCACATCTCAAACGCATTAAACACCGCAAGTAGCGTCTCTGTCAGCCGCACATGAGTCTGTCAGAGCATCTGACGGGATTGAGCCGCTTTAAACCATATGTGTTAACTATATCTTACCAGTTATTTTAAAGCCCTTAATATAATGCATGTCTCATGTTTAGGAAAAATTGGATTATGCACTTTCCCTGCAGCAGTTCACTCTATGTCCTATGCTATTATTCACATGCGCTCGTATCAAACTACTGTATATCAATATAGGCGGTATTGCCTCTAGTGTTGTCACGGTACCAAATTTTCAGTATTCAGTACCAATACCAGTGAAAATCCACGGTTCTCGGTACCAATTTCGGTACCAAAGCAAAACACAAAAACATGCTAATACGTTTTCATTTTTTTAGTACTGACTTGGTACCGAAATACTAGGTCTTTTGACAACACTAATTGCCTCATACCATATCGCTTCTAAAAAAATATATTGATATATAGGGTTGGGTATTGTTTGGGTTTTTTTTACGATACCGGTGCCAAATCGATACTTTTAAAACGGTACCGGTGCCTGAACCTATACTTAAGAAGAAAAAAAAAAATTACCCAAAATAGGATGGGTTGGCCATTATTGAGGGAACACATTTAATGTCTGTTTCATTCATACTGGACGCCAGAGGGCGCCCTCGCGCAGAAACTCCACATGTGCATCACAGAAGGGATAGAACTCAGGAAATCCCTAATATGGACAAAGGCATTGCTATCCTTGTAACTTGAGTAAACAGAAGATACAAACATTTTGAATGAAAAAACAAAGACAATAAACACTCGACTGCGACAATGTATAGTTTATCTGTGTTATTCAAGCCATCTTTGTTATTTTCATCATAATTAAGTATATTTATAATCCATTACTAATCGATATAGCCTTTTTACCATATGCTTTTTACAGTATAGAACATATTTTCTGCCTCATTCTGTGACAAGAAGCCACATCAGATCACAAAAGGAAGCAGTTGTGGAGTAAAAACGTCATAGTGTTCTCTTTTGTTGGACAACAGGTTTAGAAACGCTTCTCATTGCAAGTCATTACAAGGGAAGTTTAGCTTTAGGCATTTTAATTTAAGAATGTTTAGCTTAGCTAGCTAACGGTATCTACCTGCTGCCATCAGAGCAAATGCAATTGCTGCATGCACGCGCTCCTCGGATGCTCTCATTTCCCGAGTTTTTTAAGTCGGATTGTGAAAACAACATGGACACTCGCGTTACTACAAAGATGTGTTGGATTTGTATTATTAGAGCTTTCCGACTTGCGTTCGTGAATTTTCTCAGTCGGGAAATTATTTTTCACGTGCGGTGCCGGTGATCTTTATGTCTTGTTTCGGAGAACGAAGATGCATTTAAGTGACACCGAATTGAGGCACCGAAATCTGCATTCTGATTCGGTTCTAGTACATACCGGTTACATAGGTACCGGTGCCTCATTTCGTACAAACTCGATATACCGCCCAGCCATAATACAAAGTCACTGTTTTGATGTTGTAGATCAGTGTTTCTTTTCACACTTTTTGTGTGTTTTTAATTTTATATTAATTTTTACAGTTTTTTGCTGTTGCTTTTGAAGATGCATTAGACTTATATTTTCATTAAAGTCAGATTTCAAATTCGGTCCATTTTATTACAATATTTAAATATTAAATGCCATTTTGGCGTTGTTTGATGTGGAGTGACAGATTGCTGTAGCGTCTCTGTTAGAAGCGGCAGCGTGAACTGATCGTCTCCTCTGCTTTAATAGCATTTACAGCATGAAATAAACATTAATGAACATCCAAAGGTATGTTAAAAGAAAGAGTACAACTTACCGAAATCCGTATCCTGTCTCATGTAATCGCTCAATCAGTGTTTCAAATGCAGAAAGATGACAATGGCTTGTAAACAATGTCACGTAACATCACATTTACCACAGAAAATCATATTTGGGGACCATGAACTCATTAGTCGGCTAGAAAAATTAACTCTCGAGAGGAGCATTTTGCTTAATATGTACCATATAACACATTCATTATAATTTTTTTTTTTTTTTTTTTTTTTCTTTTTTTTCATTTTTTTATGTTTGAATAAATCCATCGAGTTTCTTGTGGCAGCTACAATTTTAATGTTTATGTTTCAAAAAACGAATTGGAGTAGAAATATAATTATGTAATTTAAAGTTAGTATTATAAATTTAATATTACAAAAACTTAGTATATTTTAAGTGTTTGTATACAAATCAGCAAATTTCAACCTTCCATATTATTGACTCAGGTATATTTTACAGCATTAGTTGAGATTTTTTTTTCCTTGAAAATTTGCCAAGTCCAGTTCCTGTTATACAGTGGGTACGGAAAGTATTCAGACCCCCTTAAATTTTAATCTATATTGAATCAAATCGAATCAAATCACAAGCTTGTTGAAGGATAATCGAATCGAGTTGTGAAATTTGTGTCAAAACCCAGCCCTAATGGGGACCATTAACTGTTTGGTTACCCACATTCTTCAAAATAACTTTTATGTTCAACAGAAGAAAGAAACTCGTTCAGGTTTAAAACAACTTGAGAGTGAGTAAATTTTAATTTTTGCAGAATTTTCAGCAGTTTGTACTTAAAAGAAGAGAGAAAACCTGCACTTAAAGGCACAATATGTAATTTTCGCCACTAGCGTATTCAAAATAAACAAATAATCAAAGGCGTAGTTTGATGACGACGTGACTGAGTGTGGAGTCATGGGAGTTGTCGTCTTCATCCCCACAGCCGATGCAATCCGACGGGACTCGGGCAGTAAAAAAATCTTATATATTGTGCCTTTAACCTTTTCACAGGCATTTTGTTTTCATAGATATCGACAGATATAGTGATGTATCATTAAATGATTGTCTGGTAATATATCGATTATCACAGAACTGCTGTATTGTGATATTATCGGTATTGTGAGCGGTGTATTGTATCGTGAGGTACCCCGTGATTCCCACCCCTAATATATACTGTATATACATATGTATAAATACTAGCAAGGATGCTGAAAAAGTGACAGTAAAGACATGTATAATGCTGTAATTCTGTATTTTGTTTTTACTTTATCAAAGAATCCTGAAAAAATCTTCCACAAAAATATTAAGCAGTACAACTGCTTATATTTAAAAATATTTATCAATAATAGTGGTTTTTCCCCCATGTATTTCTGATTAAATAAGCATAAGAAACTTCTTTAAACCTTCTTTTAAACCCATTTTACATCATTTGACCAGCCAGCTTCTCTTGTTTATCTAAGGCCTTTCATCTGTATGTATTAACCCCTGCAGATCACATTGGAGGACCAGAACTATCTGTTGTATAAAATGTTTTAAATGTCCGCAGAGAGCTTTTTACACATGCATTGCTCCAGATGTTAGAAGTTCTTTGGCCTTCCCCCTTTCATCAGTGTCAACACACCCAATGTCATTCCTGTATGTTCACAGGGGGCTTTGCCCTGCAGTCCTATAAAGGAGCTCAGAAACCCACCCCTATGGAAGTGATGAAAGCCCAGGCCACCCGCTTGGCCGCAGACCCCACCAACTTCCAAGCTCCCCCCAAGATGGAGATCCCCACCATGGAGGGGAAGAGACAGATGACCAGACCTCACAAACTCAAACACCGGGACATGAACGTCCTGACACCCTCTGGATTCTAAGTGAACTCCTTACATCAACCTCAACTGTACACATAGTGAACCCGTAGCTGGTCTACCCTCTCTCTTACTCCCTTGTGCTGTCTTGCTGCTGGGTCACTGCAGTAATAATGGCTTTTCCCTATCACAGACTCATCCTTTTGCTAGTGTCTTAAGTAAATATTCGTCCTGAAAAGATGTTGTGTGAGTGCGTAGCAGCATTGTTGTTGGTGCTGTTGTCTTTTGTTTGCCTCTTCCTTGCTTTGCCTTTTAATTTTTCCTTCAAAGTGTTACTTTAAGTTAGTATGTGTGAGAACATGCATTCCTTGGTGTTTTTGGATGTACTGTGGTGTAATTATTCATGGCTTGACTGAACAAAAGCAGTGTTTTTATGTGTTGGTTTTTTTGTTCCATCACATAGCAAGTTAGAAAACTGCCTAGAGCTTATTGTCATATATTGAGAAATTATGTTATGATTTCATGTAACATCATCAATACATAATGGGTTCAGTGATAACTTAATTCTTTAAGTCTTTGCTGTTGTGTATTATGACGTTGTAAGCATCGTTGTGATACGGTTGTGTCGAGGATGGTGTGACAAATGATGAGGGCACTAAATTGACTGAAGGTTAAAAAAAAAAAAGAAAACTGGCTGAAATTTAATTTAATGTAACCGCTCTGGACAGAGAATTTCTTGTATTTTTGTTACAAGTTTAAAATTGTTTCAATTTCTCAAAAGGTTGAATGCATTTACTTTGATCTTGTTGGATCTGTTAATACATGAATGAATAAATAAAAGGACATAAATGCCATTTTTGCTCTTGAATGTCTTTCCTGAAATTCACTGTTCACCATTTTTGGTAACAATGATAAAGAAAGTTCAAACAAATCTTATATGGGCACATGCAAGCTATTAAATGTACTTAACTGTGTACAGTATTGTGTTATGTAATATTTAATTATAAATTATAATTATAAAATTATTAATTATAAATATTGTAAAATTTAAGTTTCTTGGTTTAAAATGCATTTATTCAAAATTGAAAATTGTGTGTGTATACACTGCTTTTAATATTAAATTTATTTACATATACTACATACATGCATTATTGTTCATATGTTTGCAGACAATAGTTTTTTTTTTTTTTTAAGAAAATGTTTTGTTCAGAACTTTCAGATTATTTCAGAGGGATTATGTGACACTTGAAGACAGTAGAAAGTTTCACTGAAGACAGTGAAAATGTAGCTTTCCTATCACAGGACCAAATTACTGTACATTATAGAAACATTAAAGCTTTAAATTGTAATATTTCACAATATTACTGTTTACTATATAAATGCAGCCTTGGTGAGCATAAGAGATAGCTAAACCTGAGCTAAATCTCCCAAAGCCTCCTTTTGGGACGTTCTTGATTGTAAAAACTTTTTCGCAAAAAATTTATAAAGTTTTCTGTTAGGGTTAGGTTATATTATTTAACCTATTCAAACTAGCTGTAGAGGTCTGTGCAATGTGCCCTTTTAGACAGGTGTGTGTGTGTGTGTGTGTGTGTGTGTGTGTGTGTGTGTGTGTGTGTGTGTGTGTGTTCTTGGGGAGACCCCTACTGGTCAAGTGACATCCTCCCTCCCTCTTGCAATACATTTATCTGCCACTAGGAGACAGTGGCCTCCCAAAAATGTTGTCGTTTGGTGTAGAAACTCAAGTCAGATATATCATCATAGAAAGTTTCACTGGGTAAACTGAAATAGAAATGAAACTGAAATGGCGATTATCTTTTCTGTGAAAATGTCTTCCAACTTAAGTGATCAAAACTCTTTAATGGCAGTAGATCCTTTACACGGTCCTTGCCACATCAAAGCAACACTATGAAACTAACATCCAACGTTTGCTTCATCCTTCCCAGCGTCTTCCCTGTGTTTCTCTGGTTCATATGCTGCTCCATTGGCAGTCTCCTCACATCTTATGCTGCCATGCTAAACACGCTTTCCTGGAAGTCCAGCCACCACACTCTCCACCCAACAGCACTCACTCTCTCTCACACATATGCTCACCTCCTCCCAGAGCCCTTTTCCAATCCCTCTGTGACGTTGTACTTTTACACACTGACACATCGTAGGTCATTTCCTACGTTTGGCAGTCCCACTGGGATGTCTGGATTTAATATGTAGACTGGCGGTCCACCCAGCTCAGAGTGTGAGGGCCTCTGTTGTATGTGAGTCACTGTGATAAGAGCTATGAGATCACAGTCTGACCACAACATGTGGATGTGGGTTCAGAGCTCATGGATAACGCACTGTTGTGTCGTGTAACGTGTTCCAATAAAGTTTGATTGCATTGCTGATGTTACTCATAAAACAGCCACTGTCAGCCAGGCTGTGATTCAAGGACACAATCATGATTAGGATTACATACACTTAAAGGGGTCATATGATGCGATTTCAGTTTTTCCTTTCTCTTTGGAGTGTTACAAGCTCTTGGTGCATAAAGAAGATCTGTAAAGTTGCAAAGACTAAAGTCTCAAATCCAAAGAGATATTCTTGTCCCCACTGGATGCAATGAATGCCTCATTTATAATAGGTTTTATAATGGGTTTTCATGTTTTTGAATCATCACTCCGGCCTGGCATCAACACAATATGGTGAGGGGCGTAACATTTCTGTCACACGCTTGAGGTTTAACCTTAAACCGCATAAACACATTTCATTACATCAAATACACAAAATAATGTTATTTTTTAACAACATCATACGACCCCTTTAAGATGAGATCAGAAAGTCTTTTTGAATTGGTTCGTTATTATTCATGCCAGTGAGTTTTCTTTCTTTTTTCTTTTCTTTTTTTTTTTTTTTACAATGTTACTAAACATATATAGCAGTAATGATGCCAAAAATATTGACCTATAATAACATCTTAATATTATTTATGAACCTATAGTAGGCCTAATTGAGTTTAGTTTCTTCTTATAATTCATTCATTCATTCATTCTTTCTTTCTTTTGAAATGAACTTCATTTCAAAAACATTTGTGGCCAAATTTGACTATTAAAATGTATTAAAAGTATGTCCATGCACATGAATGTAAATGTACTTCATTTGTGCATTTACTTTACAAGATGATGTCTGAGTCCAAACTCCAATAAGGAAGCACATAAAACATGTCATAATACAGATCTCAATATATATAGAAGACACGTCAGACAATATTAATTTACACTATAAAATATATTTAAAAAAGTAAACGTAAAATGCATTTACTCTTGAACTATCTTCCACAATTGCCTCTACAAAACTTATTTAATGTTTTTTTTTTTTTATATAAAATATTTTTTATTGGAATATCTGAGCTTTATTTATTAAATTAAACACACATCTCACTTACCTTTTTAAAAATGCAGATGGTTTTACTTTGCCCAAAGAGTAAAATACATGTGCTCACTTAGCTGGGAATCATTTGCGATTCAATGCCTCAATGCATTCAATTCGTATTTGAACAATGAAAACAAAAGCTGCAGGTTTTGGGTTTGGGTTTCTATACTAATTGTTTTATAAGCTGTTTTTCTGCTAACAAGTTTGTCCTTTTGCACAAGGAAGTGACTTTTTATTAGACGTACCTTATACAGCCTGATTGTCTAGTAACATATTTCCAAATGTTTTCAACAGTTTGCATGAATTCACATGTTTGCGTTGGTGAGCACCAACCTGATCGACTTGTGGAAAAATGGGACTAATAGTAATTTCCATTAATGAGTGCTCAGTGTGTGCTATAATTGGAGGTGACTTGCAGCAGAAGGGAGAAATCATAATATGCATTAATGAGAGGATCTTGTGAAGTTAAATCACTTGACGTACATTCCAGTGTCACATGGTAGATGCTCTCAGCATTGAGCCTATCAGTCTGATTGGCAATGAACAAGAAAAGTCAAATCCTAACCCAGTGGTCCGGTACCACAGCTCTTGATTCAATCGTTTGCACCGCAGCGGCCAAATGAAATAATGATGCATTGCCAATCCAAGTTTGTGAGCAGTGAACTATTAAATCCATGGTCTTGTGTTCAGGAAATACATAGAGTGGGGAAAAACTCCATAGAATGACATTACAATCTAGCTATAAATTAACAATCAAAGAGGAAATTTCTGTGCTTTAATGCATAATTCTGTTTGTGAATTATGATGTATTTTTCTAGGCATTAAAGTGCAGAAAAAGTCATAGATTTATAAAATAGTTTAATTTTACGTGTACTTCTTCTAGAGACTCATTTATGGAGTCCTACATTAAAGTTAACATGCTTTATAAACATAAAGTGTCAATTTCATGCAAGTTAAATTTTTATTTAACATGTTTAATAATAATTAAGCATACACATGTCTCAGGGACTTCTCAAACATTTGGGTTTCAGCTTTATTTAAAATAGGGAATGAATATAAAAATATGCCACCTAATATTTGGCATGTTTTTATGGTATATGGTAGTTAAAATAACTTTATATAACAATTCATAATATCTATGTTGTTGCTGATAGTGAGACTTTCTGACATCATTCATTTACTCAGTTTTTTATTTGTTAATAAACAATAAACAATGTATTTATATTATTAATGAGCAGTATCCAAAGTCAGTCAACCAACTGATCAATATGTTCTTGTGTTTGTGTGTTTAACTTTTCTTTAAAAATGAATATTTATGTTATGTTTTATGTTATGTTATGTTATGTTTTATGTCATGTTATGTTATGTTTTATGTTATGTTATGTTATGTTATATGTTATGTTATGTTATGTTTTATGTTAAGTTATGTTGTTTTATGTTATGTTATATTATGTTATATGTTATGTTATGTTTTATGTTATGTTATGCTATGTTAAGTTATGTTATGTCATGTTTTATGTTATGTTATGTTATGTTATGTTATGTTATGTTTTATGTTAAGTTATGTTGTTTTATGTTATGTTATGTTTTATGTTATGTTATGCTATGTTATATGTTATGTTTTATGTTAAGTTATGTTATGTCATGTTTTATGTTATGTTATGTTATGTTATATGTTATGTTATGTTATATGTTATGTTATGTTATGTTATGGTTTATGTTATGTTATATGTTATGTTAATTTATGTTTTATGTTATGTTATGCTATGTTATATGTTATGTTATGTTATGTATGTTATGTTATGTTATGTTATGTTATATGTTATATGTTATGTTATGTTATGTTATGGTTTATGTTATGTTATATGTTATGTTATGTTATGTTAATTTATGTTTTATGTTATGTTATGCTATGTTATATGTTATGTTATGTATGTTATGTTATGTTATGTTATGTTATGTTATGTTATGTTATGTTGTTCGTTATGTGACGTTACATTACGTTATGTAATATCATATGATATTATATCTGTTTGGCTGGACTAGAAAGTCTAAATGACTCAACTGCTGTGCTGCTTTGCACAACATCATTTACCTCAAAGGTCTGAAGTGATGGAAAAAGCTAACTCACCCAGGGTCTGAATGTGCCATGGAAATTTGGGTTATTTAATGGTAATGCTGCATATTAACATTCATAATGTTATTCACTAAGTAGTCTAAGTAGCAAACATTATATAAAGCTTAACAGGTTTTTTTTATTTTTTTTTAAATAAAGCTTTTATTCATTTCACCTATGAATTCATTTCACATATAAATGTCCAAGAACTACTGATCTATTAAACATTATATAAAGTTAATGAATGTCTTTTATAAACTATTGCCCATTTAATGTGCTCTTTTGTATTTTGTCTTACTGAACTGGTGCCAGTATACGAGATAATAAACAGTAAAATAAGATAGTGAGATTAGAAAAAAAACTATGTAAAAGCAATTTCAACACAGCCACTGGAGCTGCACTTTGGCTCTGTTAAAACATTGTTTGAGGGTGTGACTGTTTGTTGCCCGTACCACCCTTTTAGTGGTCACTGACTGCCAACTCATGATACTGGACAGCTCTGACAGCACATACGTAATTAAAGCATTTACTGTAATTCACACCACATATTAAAATATTAATAGCTTTTTTTGTTGGTTTATTTATGTGTTGATTTGATAAATTACAGGATTCTGACGCAGCTCAAAACTGTTTGAAACAGTGGACCTTATTTTTTAAGTGAGAGAGAAATATCTATTGTTACTTAAATGCATCTGTTTGTAATGTACAACTATTTGAAAACAGTCCTTCAATTTATGACTCATTTTACATTGGGTGTTCAGATCATTTCTATATGGATCTCGCTTTTGGCACAGGGACATTATTATTCTGGAATAGGAAAGATCCAAACTCCACTCCAAACTCGGAAGTCAGGAGCATATAATTCCCTAGAATGTCATTGTATGATGTAGCATTAACATTTGTTTTCGCTGGAATTAAGTTGACAGTCCAAACCCATTATTTCAAAGGGGTATCTACATACTTTTTCCTGGTCTATCAGTTTACCTGATCTTGCCTAATGCAATCTCTGTAACACCTGAATCATATTTGGCCTTAAACAAAAATTTTAAAATCTATGAATCATTCAGCTTCTGTATATGTAGATACAGTATCATTTCACCTTAGTTCTTCTCACCTTCTACGGCTTGATTAAATTCTTTTTGAGATTCCTTGGGAGTTACTGTGGTGGGGAGGATCCACAGATCTTCACAATAGCCCCCCAAAGGGGGACCACACAGGGCCTGTGTCTTATTCTGCTTAACGTGACACAGATGTCTAATAAAAAAACTTCACAGTATTGTAGCTGCAGCAGGACCAGTGGTTAAACATTGGAAACATTAACACTGAAATGGAGATTCTCTATAGGGCCCTAATAGAAAAAAAAATCAAAAGCATTTTAGCACTATATGGTGCCAGAATAACTTTAAGGACCAAATGATTCACATTTGCTCCAAACACAAAATCACAACTTTATTTTACAGTGCAGTTGCTGGTAAAAAAAAATTCCTTCTAAAATTCAAGAAAAAAACGATGTTCTTTGTACAAAAATGTACATGTTCATTTGCATCCATTCCTATTTAACACAATTCAATTGCCTAAAAATGCTAAATTCCAGTGAAGTCTTAATGCTGTGGTATACATTGACATTCTCAAGAATTCTGTGCTTACAAATTTTTGACAAAAGGGTTGTTTTCTATTGCAGTGTGACAATGTCCTTCTGAACAAAGAAAGAGCCACATGATTTACAAAAAAAAATCTTGACTGACTTGCACAAAGACCTGAACCCCACTGAACACTTTTGGGATGAACTGAAGTGCTTATAGAGATAGACCTCATCACTTACATTAATATTATTGTGAAAAAAATAAAAAACTTATTATGGAAATAATGTATTTTAAAAGAATATACTTAAAATTACAATTTTGTTAACATTTACTCACCCTCATGTCGTCTCAAACCTCTTTCTTCTGTGGAACACTATTGTAGCTGCAGCAGGACCAGTGGTTAAACATTGGAAACATTAACACTGAAATGGAGATTCTCTATAGGGCCCTAATAGAAAAAAAAATCAAAAGCATTTTAGCACTATATGGTGCCAGAATAACTTTAAGGACCAAATGATTCACATTTGCTCCAAACACAAAATCACAACTTTATTTTACAGTGCAGTTGCTGGTAAAAAAAAAATTCCTTCTAAAATTCAAGAAATTCATTTGCATCCATTCCTATTTAACACAATTCAATTGCCTAAAAATGCTAAATTCCAGTGAAGTCTTAATGCTGTGGTATACATTGACATTCTCAAGAATTCTGTGCTTACAAATTTTTGACAAAAGGGTTGTTTTCTATTGCAGTGTGACAATGTCCTTCTGAACAAAGAAAGAGCCACATGATTTACAAAAAAAAATCTTGACTGACTTGCACAAAGACCTGAACCCCACTGAACACTTTTGGGATGAACTGAAGTGCTTATAGAGATAGACCTCATCACTTACATTAATATTATTGTGAAAAAAATAAAAAACTTATTATGGAAATAATGTATTTTAAAAGAATATACTTAAAATTACAATTTTGTTAACATTTACTCACCCTCATGTCGTCTCAAACCTCTTTGGACAATGTTGCTTACCAAACAGGTCTGGTTACCACTGACTTCCATTATATGGAGGGAAAAAAAGAGACATTTCTCAACATATCTTCTTTTATGTTCTGCAGAAGAACAGGTTTGGAACAACAGTTTCAAGTTCATTTGTAGGTAAACTGAATGTAATGTTTTTGGACACTTAATAACTTTAACTTTAAGTTAAGTAATTAACTTTTTTTTAAATAAACTTTTAAGATTTGAAGTAGGCTACATTACATGTGCACATTCAATATAATTATACTTTTTCAACAAAAGAATACCTGACCTCACTGATGCTCTTAAAGTCTGAATGGGAGTGAATACCTGCATCAGTGTTCACATAGCCTATAGTGTATATGTGTCTATAGAGAGACACACTCTCTCTGTTTAAATCTAGATTAAAGACACTTTGATTTCTTTGGCCAAGCATTCAAATAATGCATCTCATAATCTTGTACTGCAGTTATCCGTAAAGTTGCTTTGCAACGAGTTGTATCGTTAAAAGTGCTATAATAAACTTGAATTGAATTGAAATTCTTCACATAAACTCTTAAGGAGAATCATCTCGCCATTAATGGCAGTGGTTTTGAAATGAAGTGCTCAACAAACACATATGGGTGTGGTGGCCACATACTTGTTTTTTTTTTTTGAAACTATATAGCGCCTGTGTGTTCTCATCTATTTTTCAGTCATTTATATATACTTATATATTATAAACTTACTTAAGGTTGTTACTATTAAAACATCAATTTTTAAATCTTTGCTTCGCTCCTCCATTTTAAAGGCACATTTGGATAACAAAATTTCTATATATGTGGCACAGCACACAGCCTGTGTTGGGCGTATTTACACCGTCAATAGTCTGTAATATCATATGTGGAAAACTAGGTTTCTAAACATAAAACATGAACAAATACAGGAATCCTTAGTATCAAGCAAGAATTAAACTCAGTTCTTTCGATCAGCCAGCGGTGGGCGGGGCTGACGTTGTCATGGTAACCAGAGGTGGAGCAGGTTCTATAAACCCAGGCGGCTGTTCGTAGTTCCTCCTCGAAGTCTTTGGATCATATTGCGACTTGCTCCGCTCCGCTTCACCAGCAGACCCTCTAAACTACCTTAAGTTTGAAAGAATACACTTGAACGATGTGCGGTAAGTTCATCTTTTTATTATTATTACTTTACAGGAATAGAAATACTGTAAATTAATCGCTGTGATTAGATAAATGTATTCTCATACTGTCATAACAATCATACTTCAGATTGCTATCGCCTGTATTAAACTATCCGTCCCTGTGTGTGTGTGTGAACCGTGAATATATAGTCAGATGTCATGCCAGCGTAAATATTTGGTCGGTCTGGTCATCCTTCACTGGAGTTGTGACAGAAGTGACAGATCCGGGTTGGAGTGCGACAGCGGTGTCTCAAAACCTACTGAGCTCCCTACCTAGACAGCGTTTCTGAACATCACAGGCGCTAGCGAACGTTAGGACGCACCTACAGTGGTTAAATATGCTGCCTGATATTTAGGTTTGGGCTTGATGTGCTTATGACGCACATGAATGCTGTCTAGGTAGCAGCAAACACACTGCGTGTTAAGACGCATCCAAATACAATCTGGATCCACAACATTCAGTCGGCGACGTGGCTGATTTAAAGTTTGTTAAATAAACTTTATCACTTTGTCTGGCACTCGGGGAATTTTAATATGCTCCTTGCCTCAAAGTAATCTAGTAATCTCTGATTTTTGATTGTGATGGGGACACTATTGTGAAGATGATAGACACTGAGGTTAGCTCAGAAACCACACTTTTGTAAACTGATTTGTAAGTTGTTTTAAAGAGCACATTACTACTATATTTACTGTTATTGTATTAATAATATTAATAAGAACTAAGCCTGAGTTTACAATAAAAGTTTGTTCTTCTGCAAAGTAGTTGCTTCTGATTACAGAATGTCTATCTATCTATCTATCTATCTATCTATCTATCTATCTATCTATCTATCTATCCATCTGTCTTCTATCTGTCTGTCTGTCTGTCTGTCCATTGAGAAATAGAAGCAAGCTTAATTTTATTGAATGTGCACTTTAAATGTAATTCAAATGTTAATTAAATGTAACTGTAGAGTTGTTCAGTATTCATTAAATATGTGTAATTACTAATGAAACTTGTATGTCATTTAAATATTTAATATTTAAATACATGACATACAAGTTTCATTAGAAATGACAAAGTATATTTTAGTTTATCATAAATGCTTGTCAGTATTCAGCACAGCAGTACACTTTAACTAATCAATTATGAAATTACATCTATCTATCTATCTATCTGTCTAGTAGTCTGTCTGTCTATGTTTTCCATTTGCCTATTTGCCAACAAGCTTCTTTTAGTTAGCCTAAGTGGCTCGTCCGAGTCCATCACTCTGTTAATATTGTATTTAATGTCTTAATATGATTGATATGCTTAAAGTTTTTGTCATTCAGTCTATAAAACTTATTTTTTGGGAGGTTAACTGGGTTGCTTTAAAATGTCTTAGCAGCATGCGTCTTCATACACGATTAGTACACTCTCCAAGTCTTGTTACCTTGTACCCGGCAGGAATTTTCGCCTACCTGAATTACAGAGTGCCACGGACGAGGAGGGATATCTTTCAGACCCTCATAAAGGGACTTCAAAGGCTGGAATACAGGGGTTATGACTCTGCAGGTAAGACTGCCACTCCCACATCTGTGAGGGTAATGTCACTGTGTTCTGCAGGTAACAGATACGGCTCAAGACGTGAACAGTGGCCTCGTTTCTTGGATTTTGGCAGCACAGAGGGCCTGGAGTGTCAGTTCTTCCACTGATGTAGCTGTAGCAGTCAGTCGATACTTGTGTGAAGGGGATTATAGTGCTCTTAATCTTGTTTTTGTGCACGCTCAGCCCTCATCTTATTTATCAAGTGTTTGAAATAGACATAAAGAGAGTGAGTGACTGTATATGATGGTGAAAATTGTGTATGTTTTTGGTCAGGTGTTGCAGTAGATGGCTCAGGGAAAGATCATGCTGCTAGTATCAGCCTCTATAAGAAGACAGGGAAGGTGAAAGCTCTTGATGAAGAGATCTACAGTATGTTATCCTGCGTTATTATCAATCTTTTTCTTTAAAGTATTTCTTTAATGATTCTTTTTCTCAGATTTTTCCCTGTTTGTATTATCAGAGAACAACGCCATTGATTTCGAGGCAGAACTGGACACACACTTTGGCATTGCACACACTCGCTGGGCCACGCATGGAGAGCCCAGTCCAGTCAACAGCCACCCTCACCGATCTGACAAGAACAATGGTAAAACATAAAGCGACCTTATGATGGTCATCTGCTTTAAACCCAGTCATTAGTAAACCAGCTGGGGTTGCCGTCAGTTTATGAGCTCTTTATTCAGAAAAGACAGGACTGGGTAGCCGACACAGGCTTTAAAGCCATTAGATTATGTTTGTAAATGAAAGGCTAGCGAAGGCCATAATGCTGTGAATGATGGTTAAGATGTGAAAGTTCACCTCTGAAAATAAACACCTAAAGCAGAGGCTAGAATCAGAGAAGCAGGAGGTTCCTCTCGCCACACAGTTTGGCGTGCTACTGATTCCGGATCAGCTTTCTCCTGTAAACCATAAAGGACACTAGAAAGAAACAATATTACAGGCAAAATTCAGTGTGGTTCAAATTTTATATTTTTTTCATTTATATTTGACCTTATGTTTATGTTATCTAGCTGGATTTGAGAATGATCCAAAGAACATCTGTACAAAGCAGCATAAAACAAATCCTTTTTTTTTATAAGCCGCAACCCTTTACCCAAAGCTCTGAACAGTTGGATATAAACTGATATAGGATTACACTATTGTGTCATATTAAATTATAAGCCTGTAGGTCTTTAAGATCATGATAAAAATGTGGGTGTGTCTAAACGTTTTTTTTTTTTTTACCAGTATTGTGGTTTCAATGAGGACAAATAGTTTTGAACAATAGCATCGATATAAAATTACTACACTGCACAAAGATCACGAACAGTTTGTCAAACAGACATTCTTCAAGTTTGTTTCACTTTGAAACAGAAAGCATGTAGGCCTACATCCGTGAACAGCTTGTAAAAGTGTCAGTGATTGATGTGTATCAACTATGACATATGTTGGATATGACAGACGGCAAGTTTTGCAGTTGAGAAAGTCATAAAGTGAAATGCGACCCAACCTGCTGCTGTTACAATTTAGTACATGTGTATAAGAATCCTTTCTCGTTTTAGACACCTTTCTAATTTTATTTGTGATTATTTAAGTGGAGGACATTCTTGCAAATGTTTTTTTTTTTTACATTACAATCAAACACACCTAAACCAGCTAATCAAGGAATTCAGGATTGTCAGGTTGAGATAGGTTAGAACAGGGGTGGGCAAACTTGGCCCTTCCAGGCCACTTTCCTTCAGAGGTTAGCTCCAACCCTAATCAAACACACCTGAACCAGCTAATCATTGTCTTCAAGACTACTAGAAGTCTACAACCAGGTGAGTCATATCAGGGTTGGATCAAATCTCTGCAGGAAAGTGGCCTGGAAGGGCCAAGTTTGCCCATCACTGGGTTAGAGCTTCCTTCCTTTTCAGGAAGGTGGCCCTCTAGGGATGGGATTGGAGACCCTTGTATAATTTGTATTTTTACTTTCGTGTTTTCACTCAAGTTCTTATTCATTTTGAAATTAATGAAATAATTTTGAATATATTCATCCATCTCTTTATGTTTCTCTCCAGAATTTGTTGTCATCCACAATGGCATTATCACAAATTACAAGGAGCTGAGGAAGTACCTGGTAAGCAGTATTTTAATTACCTCTTTACTAGAGCCCTTGCCATGCCATCCATTTTACTTTATTGATTAGACTGTGAAAAGCAGGTGCTACATACAGTGGGTATAGAAAGGAATCAGTTTTGCTGTGTGCTTTGGGTCATTGTCATGTTGGAAGGTAAACCTTCTTCCCGTTGACAACTTTCGGGCAGAGCAGAGGGCAGCAGATTTTCCTCAAGAATTTGATGGTATTTTGCCCCATCCATTTTTCCTTCTATCCTGACAAGTGCTCCAGTCCCTGCTGCAGAGAAACACCCCCATATCAGGACATTACCACCTCCATGCTTTACTGTAGGAATGCTGTTATTTGGATGGTGAGCTGTATTGGACTTCCGCCAGACATTTCGTTTGGTGCTGAGGAAAAATTATTAAATTTTAGTCTCATCTGCCTCAGAATCTTCAAGGTGCGTTTTGGCAAAGCTCAGTCGTGACTGTTTAGGAGGGGGTGATCCTTTTCCCAACGCAGTGATTCTGTTTTTAAATTTTTTTCTGACATGTTGGTGCTATATCTTTCACTTGGATGTTATAAGTTGCACTGAGTAAAAAAAGGGGGTGATTCTTTTCTGTACCCACTGAATGGAACCAGAACAAATGCGAGTTTGCTAAAACAATCCGTGTATCATTCGATCATTCGTTTTTTTATTTAATATTGAAAGTAGAAAAATGAGAAAACGGCTCCTCTATGGTGTAGACAGCATCACTGATTATAATGAGTTCCATAGAATTTTGTCGCGTCGCTCCACTCGTGTCCGGTGTAGACACAGTGTAACATTGGTTTTGCTTTGTTTCACAGAACCAATCGTTGCCTGGGTTGCGTACGTATGTGTGGGGCAGAACTATCAAAATAGGGGCGAGACCCTTTTGGGGTAGGGGCGTGTTTGTTTTGGTGATTTAAAATGTCAACATTGGCTACCAGAAATCGCTTACCCCACCTTTAAAGAGATGTTTGGTTACTGGTTAACATTATCTAGTAGCCTAAACAGCCTAATTGACATTAGCAGAAAAGGAAAGTCATTTCAGTCATTGTCAAATTAAGACAAGGAACGTATTAAAAACTTAAATATAGTCAATTTATATTAATTAACAAACAGAAACATGAATGGAATTAGAGTGGAATTTAGTTTTGATGTAATGATGATTCAAAGCAAAGGAACTGTTCAAAGCTATTATGTTTAGTATTCCACTTTCTCTCTCTTTCACTTTCATTTATCTCTGATTACTTTTTCCACAAAAGAAAAACATGTTTTGTTTTCCTGCTGCTTGTGTCTGTAACCATGGCTTTTCCATCCCAACCCATTGATAGGTTTCCAAAGGCTATGAGTTTGAGTCGGAAACAGACACCGAGGTCATCCCTAAGTTGATCAAGTATCTCTATGACAACCGCGAGAATGAGTATGTGTCCTTCTCCACCCTGGTGGAGCGCGTCATTAAGCAGCTGGTAAGCATCACGAGTGTGTACGTGTGTGTGAGTGTGTGTGTTTGGGATGAGGGGGTGGTCTTGCTCACAGGCCTCTGGGAACCCCTTGCTCGGATTGTGAAAGTTAAAGGCCAGTTCTTGGTCATTTTCAGCCCTTTTAAAAAGAAGAAAAAGAAGTTCAGAAGTAGGGGAGCGCGGGGCACAAAGTAACGCGGGGTTAGTTGTAACACACATGGTTTGAATATTTCCACACACGCTAGCATAACAAAATTTACAGTATTTATTAGTTACCATATCAACATTATATAGAAAAAAAGTGTGCCAAAATTAAAAAATCTTTTGAAGATATCAATGAACATTTATTTTACCATAGTAAAATTTAAATTCTGACTTAAAGGGATAGTTCATCCAAAAATTAAAATTTGATGTTTATATGCTTACCCCCAGGGCATCCAAGATGTAGGTGACTTTGTTTCTTCAGTAGAACACATATGATGATTTTTAACTTAAACCGTTGCAGTCTATCAGTCATATAATGCATGG